TGGGGTCAAGGGAGGGATTTTTGAGTATGGGGGTGATGTGCGCATGTTTTAGGGGGGAGGGGAAGACGCCAGTAGAGAGGGAGAGATTGAAGATGTGTGTAAGGGAGCGGATGAGGGAAGGGGGGGTGACCGGAGGGAGTTGAGAGGGGATAGGGTCCAGGGGGCAGGTAGTGAGGCGGGCTTCTGAGAAGACTCTGGTGACTTCCTCAGTGGTAGTAGGGCTGAAGGAGTGCAGTGATGAGGGGGTTACGGTAGGCAGGGCCTTGGGTGTGTTTGGGTGGGGGCAGTGCCGTTGCGGGGTCACAGGGAGGGGAGAGATGAGGGGGGGGTGATGGAAGGGGGGAGGCTAGATGTGGGAGGTAGATTGCAGGTTGACTATGTCCTTGCGGATTGCGTCAATCTTGTTATGGAGATGAGTGGCAATCTCGTAGGGCGGTAAGTGAGGTACTGAGTGGAGGGGGGGGGGGGAGAGAGCAGGGAGTTGAAGGTGGAGAAGAGTCGGCGAGGGCAGGTGGAGAGGGTGTTGATCAGGTCAATGAAGTAGGCCTGCTTGGCGGCGTGGAGGGAGGAGGTGTAGGTGAGGAAGGCAGATTTGTAGAGGGAGAATGCATGAGGGGACCTGGTGTTTTGCGCCATAGTCTCTCCAGCGCACGACTGCGACGTTTGAGGCATTTAGTATGGTCGTTCTGCCATGGTTGGAGCGGTCTGGGTTTGATGTTGCGTGTGGTTAGGGGTGCCAGAGAGTCTAGGGTAGCTGATAGTGAGTCATTGTACGCGCGGTGGTGGCTAGGTCAGGACATGACAGTGGAAGGATGCTGTCGTGTAAGCGGTCGGCAGCCGAGTGGAGGGGGGCCGGGTGCAGGTTGCGGAGGTTGTGGCTGGTGATGGTTTGGCGCACTGGGGGGGGGGGGAGTTAGGGGGAAGGGGAGATGGAGAACGTGAGGAGGTGGTGGTCGGAGAGAGGGAAGGGGGTGTTAGTGAAGTGGTTAAGGGTACAGAGGTTGGAGAAGACGAGGTCCAGGGTGTTCCCATTGATGTGGGTGGAGGATTGAGTGTATTGTGTGAGCGCGAAGGAGGAGGTTAGGGTGGAGGAGTTGGGAGGTAGCTGGGGTGTTGTCATTGATGGGGATGTTGAAGTCTCCGAGGATGATGGTGGGGAGCTCAGAGGAGAGGAAGAAGGGAAGCCAGGCGGCAAAGTCATCCAGGAAGCGGGCTATGGATCCGGGGGGCCTGTAGATCACTGCTATCCTTAGGAGGGTGGGTGAGAAGAGCCGGATGCAGTGAGCCTCGGAGGAGAAGGTTAGGGAGGGGGGGTTATTAGGGATGACCTGGAAGGTGCTCAGTGGTGATAGGAGCAGGCCGACACCACCACCTTTGTGACCACTCAGTCTAGGTGAATGGGACCAGACGAGACCTCCATGGGAGAGTGCCGCAGGGGAGGTAGAGTCAGTGGCCTGTACCCAGGTTTCGGTGATGGCTAGGAGGTTGAGGGAGCGGGAGATAAAGAGGTCATGGATGGCAGTTAGTTTGTTGCAAACCGAACGGGGCGTTCAGAAGTGCAACCAAGAGAGGGGGGATGGATGCAGGGAGGAGGTGCACAGGTATGAGGTTGAGGGGGGTTGCGGCGGCTGGAGATCTGTGCCTGAATTCACACAGATGTCTTCCAAGTTGCACCTTAAGTCGGACTGACATCCAACTTCAACATTTTGTGATTTCAAGTGAAGTCGCACAATTTCAAAGTTGGATTAGGTGTGTGACCGAAAACTTTGTGTCATTTATGTCTGCTGTCTCGTTCCTCTACTATCTCCATGAATAACGTCTGACAAGTTTTCCTGACACCAATAGAATAATGGTGACAGGGGAGGGAACTCTAGCAGATTGACAGCCTCAGCTCTGTTCCTGTGAGCTGTGTGGAGGGGTGTGTCTCTTCTTCCCTCCAATCAGCTCTAAGAGCTCTCTTCACTGAACTCTGCAGATTGTAGTATCAGATCTTCACCCCCTTTTTCCTGAACTCTCAGACAGGGTTTATGAATTCAGCACTTTGAACAGATGTAGAGAAGAGAAGACTGTAGATAAAACAGACACAACTTATGTAGGAGGATTTGTTTCATCTCCGTGTATCACCTTAGGCCAGTCACTTTACTGGGTGTATGTAAGGGTTTATAACGACTTTAAAGCTCAACTCTGGAAAATTAGAAGATTATTCCTGTACCCCCACTGCAAGGATTAAATGCTTAAGGCTGGGTGCGGTATATCGCATGCAGGGGCAGACTGACAATTCATGGGGCCCCCGGCCAATAGGGGATCATGGGGCCCCCTGTGTCCTTGCCCAAACTCAAAAAAGACTATGAAAAAGGTACCAGGGGCATCTCATGGGGTCCTCTACTGACCCCGGGCCCTCGGGCAGTGCCTGAGTTTCCAAATGGTCAGTCCGCCCCTGATCGCATGTGATTCACACATGAACCACACAGGAACCGCACCGCATTCCTGTGCAAATCACATGTGTTTTGTATGCGATGTGATTAGAGGCATTTGTTTTGTAGGGATCTAATCACACCGCACCCGCACCAAAAGGTGCAAGACCCTTTTTTTGGGTCCACACTAGAATGGGTATTTACACCTATTCAATCGGATTCTGTATATCGCACCGCGTTTTGCGAACCGCTTTTGGGGTGTTGTTAACTTATCATACATACCCACAATGGTTCGCATGAACGGGGTGCGATTTGATGCGGTGCGAATTCCGCACCGCGTCAGTGTGAACCAGGGCTGAACATACCCGATCCTTTGCTCCCCCAGCAGATGGTGCTCCCCCATACTAGGGCAGTGGATTGTCCCTTGGCAGACATCTATTGGATTGCATCCCTGGCCCTGCACAGCACACAGACGTGATCTGCCGCGTGAATGAGCCCCAACCTGGTAGTTTTTGTTTTACATTGCGGGACTGCGCCCCAACTGCAAGCCAAGTGCTTGGCTCATGCCATGCAACCACCTTGATTTCAATGGATGAGTTTGACAGGCAGTAAATGTAGCCTGAGTTAAACTTGCCGTGACCATAACGTAAAACATCCTGGCCTTAACGTGTACAGCTTTGACAGGCTGTAATTTTAGAATTCTGGTGGGCGACTGGGGCGTGGTAAAACCCCAGCTCAGCCACCTATTTTAACCGCCCCTGCCACAAGTGTGAGCCTATAGAGTACAGTTGCAAGAAAAAGTATGTGAACCCCTTGGGATTACGTGGAGTTTTGCATGAATTGGGCATAAAATGTGCTCTGAACGTCATCTAAGTCACAACAATAGAAGAACACAGTCTGCTGAACATAATACTACACAAACATTAGATGTTGCCACAGAATACGCCTTCTGGAGTGGCCCAGTCAGAGTCCTGACCTCAACCCGATTGAAATGCTGTGGCATGACCTTAAGAGAGCGATTCACACCAGACATCCCAAGAATATTGCTACACTGAAACAGTTTTGTGAAGAGGAGTGGTCCAAAATTACTCCAGATCGTTGTGCAGGTCTGATCTGCAACTACAGGAAACGTTTGGTTGAGGTTATTGCTGCCAAAGGAGGGTCAACCAGTTATTAAGTCCAAAGGTTCACATACTTTTTCCTCCCTGCGCTGTGAATGTTTACATGTTATGTGCAATTAAACCATGGCAGCATCTAATGTTTGTGTAGTATTATGTTCAGCAGACTGTGTTCTTCTATTTTTGTGACTTAGATGACGTTCAGAGCACATTTTATGCCCAATTCATGCAAAACTCCACGTAATCCCAAGGGGTTCACATATACTTTTTCTTGCAACTGTATATACAGTTGTGCTCAAAGGTTGCATCCTCTGGCAGAAATTGTGAAATGTTGGCATTGATATTGAAGTTTTGACTGATCATGCCAAAAAAAACCTGTCTTTTATTTCAGGAGAGTGACCATAGGAAGTCATTTATTTGCACATACTGTAGTTGTTTGGCTCCTTTTTAAACCATAATGATAACATATATCCCCCATATGGCCCAGATCAGAAGTTTCCCTCCCCCGGAATGTTTGGCTTTGGTACAGACACACAAGGCGGCACACACGGGTTAAAATGGAAAAAAAAAAAAGTTAATTTCCCACATCTGTGGCTTTTTGACTTGCGATTAGTGTCAGTGTATGAATAGTCAATGAGTTTGTCAGCTCTCACATAGATGCACTGAACAGGCTAGATACTGAGCCATGGGAAGTAGAAAAGAACTGTCAAAAGACCTGAGTAACAAGATAATAGAAGTTTATAAGGGAGGGAAAAGGATATAGAAAGATTTCCAAAGCCTTGAATATGGCGGAAAGAAGCCTTCACTGCGCCAAGCCATCTGTATTAGCTATAGCCTATGTATGCTTTATGACCATTTATCTTATTTTATTACATTGTCTAAACACACCTTCCTGACGAAGTGGCCAAAGTAAGCCACAAAACACGTTCAGGGTGTTACAATTACATTTTATCTATGAATAATATCCTCCTCTCCATGCTACAGTACTTAAACCCAGGACCCTGCATCCACTATATCTGGTCTCCCCAGACCCCGCATTCACTATATCTGGTCTCTCCGGACCCCGCATTCACTATATAATCCGCTCTCCCCGGACCCTGCATTCACTATATCTGGTCTCTCCGGATTCCCCGCATTCACTATATCCGCTCTCCCCGGACCCTGCATTCACTATATCCGCTCTCACCGGACCCTGCATTCACTATATCTGGTCTCCCCCGGACCCTGCATTCACTATATCTGGTCTCCCCGGACCCTGCATTCACTATATCTGGTCTCTCCGGACCCCGCATTCACTATATATCCGCTCTCCCCCGGACCCTGCATTCACTATATCCGCTCTCACCGGACCCTGCATTCACTATATCTGGTCTCCCTGGACCCTGCATTCACTATATCTGGTCTCCCCGGACCCTGCATTCACTATATCTGGTCTCCCCGGACCCCGCATTCACTATATCCGCTCCCCCTCACCGGACCCTGCATTCACTATATCTGGTCTCCCCGGACCCTGCATTCACTATATCTGGTCTCCCCGGACCCTGCATTCACTGTATCTGGTCTCCCCGGACCCTGCATTCACTATATCCGCTCTCCCCGGACCCTGCATTCACTATATCTGGTCTCCCCGGACCCTGCATTCATTATATCCGCTCTCCCCCGGACCCTGCAGTCACTGTATCTGGTCTCCCCGGACCCTGCATTCACTATATCCGCTCTCCCCGGACCCTGCATTTACTATATCCGCTCTCCCCGGACCCTGCATTCACTACATCCGGTCTCCTCGTACCCTGCATTTCACTATATCTGGTCTCCCCCCCCCTCACCCGCAACCCAGCATTCACTATATCAGATCACACCCGGACCCGTGCATTCACTATAACTGAGTCTCCCCGGACCTGCATTCACTATATACTGGTCTCCCACAGTACAACAGAATGGAAATGCAATTATTTCAGTAAATATAAA